CTCATCCTTCTGGAACACCTCCATCGCAGAAACGTTCGAACTGGCAGAGTCTGTGACGAAAGCGGTGATGTCGGCGAGCTTGATGTCAAGGGACTTCAACCTTCGCAGCCAAGCTTGCGCCAGAGCAGTGGCATCCTTCTTTCCTCGCATAACATCTGTCGCGACGTATGTGGCGCCCCGTGTMGTGCCGACGAGATAGTTGCACAACGTTTGGCCCCGAATGTTSGTCCAACCGTCTGTCATTATCGTGCAACCGTAGGTAGCTGCAATAGCGAGGACAGGTTTCACACACTTTTGGACTTCCACATCAAGCTCATCYAAAAGTGTGGTACGGATCATGTGATACGTTGGGGGTTTTGGGATGTGGGGACTCTTGGAACCCCAGGCGGGATGATCAACGTCAACATGCGTTTGAAGCTCTCAAGCTTCACACAATTGAACGACATGCCGCTCTCGACAATGAATCGCATGATCTGCAGGTGCCATGCGTGCTCCAGCGGGTCGTTGTAATACGAGGTCACCGCCTGCTGCCTGTAAGTGCCCCTCACTCGTGCACCGGCGCCCATACCTAGCGAATCCCACACCCCGCCCCCGGCCGCAGGTGATGCGGTGGGGCCTGGACTCGGAGCTGCAATGTTGCGCAGATTCTGTAAAGGATCTAGTGTCCCAAAAACACCGTGCTGCGAGGTCGAGCCGTTCACGGGCACAGGAGTGGGCGACGAATCCGAAACCTGGACGGGCTCGTCGAGCTGGACGTTTCCCGCACCCTCAGTGGCCGTTGCAGCGGCCTCGCCAACAGGTGCCGAAGTCAAGTCTAGTGTAGGCCGTCGTGTTTGCGAAGGAGGGGGAGGCAACCACGGATACGCAGCGGATTGATGTCCTGTTGCGGGTGTTCCTGCCACGGCCGGACGTGTGTCTGCGCGTCGAACTCTTGGGACCTTGTCCCTGTTGCCAGTGAACAACGGGGCGAGGCCTGATGATGTGCCAGCGTCCTTCCCCCACCCACCRCCCTCGACGAAAGCACGAGTGCCTTGCTCGTGGAACGGCACAGGTTCCACGACACCTGAAACTGGCACGGTGCCTTGCGCATCAGGCTGCGTTGCCACAGATGGTCTGCCATCAACGGATGCGGGAATCGTCTGACGAAGCGGACGAGGGGGGAGGGGAGCAAGTGGTGCACATGGAGATGGCGCCACTTGCGAGGGGGCAGCGGTCGACGGGGGCGGCGGAACGACGTCATCGGGAAAACGAAGAGGTGGCCATTGAAAAGAGGGATGACCTAGAGGGAGACTCTGCAAGGCCTGCACGGCAGAAGCCAAATGTGCAGGACACTTGGACATATCATTTGACCAAATCGCGTGCCACACCGCCGGACTGGTCACCTGGCATCTATACCCCTCGCCACGAAAAAAGTGTTCCTTCGCCTCACGAGCACCCCCACATAGAGAACGACCGCATAACTTGCACAAACAACGGCGACCGTTCTTCCTCTCGACCGTAGTGGATCCATCTAAATAACGACCACGAGCAACGAAATGCCAAACAGGATCATCTCGTTTTCCATCCGCCTTTGGATCCACCTTAAAAAGGGAGTCAAAGGTCTTCGTGTTGTTACCTTTTCTACTACCCTCCGCCCTTTTCCCCGTTGCCGAGGAGGACTCCGCGGGGCCCTTCCCGTTATTGCCTCGAGGGTCAGACATGTTGTGGAGACCGAATGAAATCCGCAGAAGGGGTGAACTGAAACAAACTTCGACGCCAACGACAAAGAACTGCACCGAAGTTACTGAACAACCGACGAATCAACCTGTAAAAAATGGACAGTGACAGGAACGAACACAAGTTCCACAACAACCACAGCGACAAACAAGA